AAAAGACTCAACTTACTCATGCAAGGATCAATTGTTCACTCAAAGATTCAAGTTGTGACTCACCATTAGCAAAGATTCTCAAGTTCACCATACTTGTTTCAAATGCAAGATCAAGCCCAACAAAAGTGCTCAAATGCCCCCACACAAAGAATGATTCCATATTCACACACAATGGTTCAAAAATTTAAAGCTTTGAAATTACAATCAACACTCACACTCACAAAGATGAACACAATGCATGATTTCACCCATAGGTTTACCCGTGTTTTCCAATCAACACTTGTTTTAGCTCACTCATGATCAAAAAGGTCTTTTCAAGGCTTGTAATGAGGCTGAGTGTAAAGGTATGATTATTTAGGCTCAGTGGATTCTATCCTCATGAAATGTGGTATGAACAACACTTTCTTTCCTTTTCTTCATCATTCACATTCATGCTCAAAAGTCACCCATTTATTCACTTTTAATGGAATACCAGACACTCCATTTTCTTTGCACTTTCACACCTTTATTTCAAACTTTTTCATTCTTCTTTTCCTTTCTCTCTTTTTTTTATATGGAGGGGTTCCATCTTTTTCACAACCATGGGTAAAGAGGACTTCTTAACACTTCTTGATTTACCTTCTCTTTTCACCACACCCCCAACTTAGGCTTTTGGCCTAAGTTGGCTATTCACACAAACCACATCTCATAAGTATTAAGGGTCGAAGGATAAAGAAAGGTCACAATTTCATCAAGTTTCTTCCAAGGAAAGGCTAAGGCTCAAAAAGTGTTCAAGCGAAGTTCACACACTCACAAGGTAGGCCACAAAAGAGGTATAATGTCGAATTGTTTCACTCTTTAAAACTGCCTAAGATCATTTCAAGAGATTGCATCACTTAGTCAATTGGACCAACGGGGCGAATTCTAGTTGTCATCACACATGGTTCACGGTAAGCTCATCACACAATGCATTGACACCAATGTCAAACAAGACTCCACACTTTCGCTAGTGTGCAATGTTCATCACAAGAGACTTAAATTGATAATTGGCTAGTCACAACGAGATGCAAAAAGTTCACATATTGCCTATGCAACTTCATTTGCCATCATCATAGCTGTACATTCATTTTTGTTCGATTATGAGCACTATTCAAGTCATCGGTATTAATGAAGACCGATACTAAAATTTGCAAGAGAACTACCACATTCAAATACAAACAAGAGGTGGCACAATTTTTTTTAAAGGGTCCAAAAATCATTTACAATTAAAGCAGGGAGCCACAAGCTCAATCATCGACAAAAGTAGTGTTAAACACAATTTATAGCTCAAAAACCCAATATATAACCAAAATAATAATCACAAAAGGTGGGCCTCGCCCCACCATAAACAAAATTTATTTGTCCTCAAATGCAAGCAAAATATCCTAAAGTCAATAAAAGTAAGACAGAGAGGGAGGTAAAAAGGGAATCCTGTCTAAACAGTCGCTCCGTCCGTCTGGGCATCAGTGCCCATTGCATCACTCTGGACTTAAGCATTAGTGCCCAAAGTTACCTTACAATACCACCAACTCCACTAGGGTCAGCCAAAGGCGTGTCTACCAAAGAAGTCTGCACAGCTGCATTGATCATGGCCTCCTCAGTCTTTGTAAGGCCCTCATAAGAAACCTCCTCAGCAACCTCAAGTATCCCTCATCTTTCTCTGCCTCAGACTCGGGATCAGTTGCCTCCTAAACTTGAACATTATCTCTGGTGGTAGCCGGAGGCATATCTGGATCTACTAGCACATCTAGGATCTCCACCATCCCGAAAATCATGAACATGTCAGTGGACTTCAGCTGGTCCACATCTCTCCTTAATGCAACAATAGCATCTTTTAGAGCCGTCACCTCCTCGGTGGCCCCTAGGCCACGCTCACACACCGCTATCGCACTACTAGAAAACATGCATGTAGCAACAATTATTTAGCAATGATTAAATACATGTTGCAATATATAGTAATTCACCACGGTTATAAACATTGCAATAGACAACATGACCTAATGAAACACTTCTAGAATTAAATCGTTGCATTAGCACTACAACTGTTGCCATAATGTCTCTTATTGCAAGGGTTCCACAAAATCGTCCTCGTAGGCTACTCTATGGCAACGGTTCTTACGGAAATAAATATATTGCAACGGATATCTTACCCTCAATTATTTTCCCTCCGCTAATTTTACTAGACCCTCCAAAAGATTTTCTCTTAATTTATTTTTTAAAATAAAATAAAAGTGTAAATGTATAACATATATCAAATAGGTTTCTCTGTTCGAGACCATTTCATCAGAAGCTCAGCCTCGTAGGTCGCTTCTCACTTCTCCTTGAAGATGGTGTATCTTCTTCTCAATCCTCTTTGTATTTCCTTGTAGGTATCTATTATATACTGGGACTTCTTCTTCACGGGTTATGCATTTTTCCATCTACAGGTATTGTGTATTCTATCTTCATTGAAATTAGAAATTTTTGAGAAGGGTTCTTGTAAAATATCTTAAAATAGGCAAATGGGTTTTTGTGAAGTAGATTCTATTTGTTAGAATTTATGTTTATGGTGTAATCTTGTTGTGGCTTAGAGTGTGTATCTCAATTTTTGTGAGGATTGAGAAATCACTGCAAAAAAATTTAAATGAAAACTTGAAATTTATATTGGAAATTCTCAGTTTAGGAAGAGTTGATGTTATGGAAGATGGGTTTCGATTCTTCATTCTACAGGATAGATTTTATCTATCAAAAAGCTCAAGCTTTGGACCACTGGGATAAAGTTTTCAACTCCATAAGTCTTTTCAAACAATAAGATGAACTAATGTATTTTTTAACTACAAAAGTCATTGAAGTCGAGCATTAAGAGATTTAGTTTTTCTCTTGCGAGTAAAATTTGAAGTTCTAAGTTTATATTTTCTTCCTTCTTCTCTGAGATTTTTGGTGGACGAACAATAAGTTGATCATCAAGCTCTCGTCACATCAGTTCAATACTTAAAAGGAGGTAATGATCCTTTTTCACATTAGTATAAGAATATTGTTTGCCAACATAGACTAAAATTTGTTATGCTTTCTGAATTCTTTCTTATGTGCAAACTGATGTATTACATGTTCTCGTTAGAATGTGGAGTGTTAATAGATTTTAATGAGGTGGATGGTATGTTTAACTTCTAAATTATTGGGAATCGACTGTTCGACAATGTCTAATGGAATACAATTATCTTTACTAGTATAGAGAAATTACTTTTTGGATGGAACAATTAATTCTCCCTCTTTTCCTGATTATTTCATGTTTAGATTGGTTGTGTATTTATTAACCTGCATTTTCCTATTTATTTATTGGATTTACTTCTCTATGAGTATTGCTTTTGTTAGACGTGTACGTCTTCTAAGTAAAAGCAACATATGGCCTCTGTAAAATATTTAAGTGCAGAAAATTATAATCTAGTCCAGCTGCAATTTGTTCTCCTGTATTTTTTCAATGTTAGTAAAAATGTATTTCGTGAGATTACTATTGGATTAAAGACAACTTTATACTAATATACATAGGCATCGACCTCTATTTTTCATGGCCTATCCAGAGCAACAGTTTCGTTCAATACTTCATGATATTTAATCCCGTCTTACTACTATCTTGATAACTCTACAATAACTTATACTACCATTAGGATATTTCAGATTTCATATTTTTCTACTTCTTAAAGGATTTTTCATTTCCCTGTATATGTTCTCTTTAAATTTTGGACAAGTACTTTAAGTTTAGAGTGTTGGACAAGATGTACCTAGTGATGTCATTGATATGCCAACTCATGATCTACATTCAGAAGATATAGAAGAAGATATGGAAACATCAGAAGAAGATGAGGACTTTGATGATGATGAGGACTTATATGATACCGATTGGGATTGGATGGTGGCTGATTATTGACAAAGGGACTTTTCAGAAATTTCTCTATCGCATTTTCTTATTTGTACTTCTGATCTTGCCTTTTTTATTATTATTGTGTACTTCTGGTTTGTTAGGTTTTCTCGTTGTTATTAGAGATCTCTTTAGTGCTTCATATGTTGAAACTAGCTGAGTGATTTGTGCTTCCTAAAGACTAGGTGAATTAGGTAGCAAGAAGCGTTGAGTCTGATTTATGCTTCATCTATGCTTCATCCTTTCTCCCTTTTTTCTAGTTCATCTTATCATGTTACAAAAGTTATTGCAATTGTAATCTTCTTTTCTCTGATTCTGCTTTATCTTATTGATTTTTTTGGGATGTCTAACTCCTTATCCTTTTATCTCTATTTATACACTAGGCAGTACTTGCTAGTCATGGCACAACGAGAGTCTTCAAGAATAAGGAATAAAGATATAGGAGAAACTGTTCCAGTTGGAACACTTATATCTTTGGTGAATCAAAAGAAGTTGTTGCTAACTAGAAGAAGAAATGATATAACGAGTTTGATAAGGTCAATTGAAAAGGGCCAGCGTCTAACAGATGTAATAGAAGAAAAACATCTACTAGAACCACGAAATCCAGAGGTAGGAGTCCATATACAAGATGACTCAACTAAACATGTACCACAAAATCCAGAGGTAGAAGAACAAGTTCAATTGAATTCTACTACTATTGAAGTAAATGAACAATGTGAAGAACAAGGCAAGAACATCTAGGTTTTATTTATAATATTACTATACTTTTTTAATTATGAAATCAAATTACAATACTAATTTGGAGGTTATCTTTATTTGTGTATTATTGTAGACTTTTCCACTCAAAAAGGAGAAAGATGTCCAACAAAGATGTTAACTGTACATGGAAGGCATGATCATAAATTGGTTGTACTAAATAAAGTTGGTCAGCCTGTTGGTCCTAGTAATGATGTGGTGATAGAGTTGAGCAGCTTCCTCGATACACTTGCAAGGAATGTGACCCTTTGTCCTCTTGTTATAGAAAATTGGAAGCTACTTGACACATAAAAAAGAATTTGTAAGATTATACCAAGGTTAAAGTTTTCAATTCTATTTTAAGTTGAATATATTTCACGTTTATTACACTAACTCAGTGTCCCAATTTTCAGGAGAAATATGATATTTCGAAAATTGAAAATAGATGGACTTTAAAAACAATTCAAGAAGCTTGGAGAAGGTGTAAGTTTGATTTGAAAACACACCACTTTGATGCCTATGGTAATGATCAAATTTGAATGGAGAAAAGGTCTAATGATGTTCCAAAATCTCAATTTATGGAACTTCTTAGATATTGGAACTCAGAAAAATTTCAGGTAATCTTACTAGCTGATAATACACAATTAGAATTATCTGACTCATCGATCGATCAAGGAAAAAGATAAAAAAAAAGCCTCCTTAATTTTAGTATTTTTTGGTTAAATGTGAAAACTTATGAGTTTTATTGATCTTGACACCTATGAGCTTTCCTAGAAAACTTAAGAAGGTCAAATTTCTTTACAATTCTTTTCTTGATCTGGACGATCACTATGTCTGTGGGATATGCATATTAGCTAATCTTTCCTTTATCAATAATATTCTTTGTACAACTAACCACAAGATAAACATGTGTTTGGGTTGAGTGCACCAGTCTAACATATTCTTTTCTATTTGTAGAAAATGTCCAAAACCAATAGTGAGAATTGGAAAAAGTTGAAGAATCCACTTACTGTTGGCAAAAACAGATTTGCTTTAGTTCGCAATGATTTGGAATGAGCTATTGTGTGACATTGAATATATACATGTCGCTTTTTTAATGAAGATTTTTTATATCCACTTTTAATGTGTCCAGGAAAAAGAGAGGGAAACTTATGATCCTCCATCACTTAAGGAATTTTTGTGGTTACAAGAAAAAGAAAACCCAATCGATCATACAAGGATACAGATGAAGAGTACAATTGTGAGATTCCTATCTAATTTTTAATTTGTTTGATTTAAATTAGTTTTTTTTCGTATTGAGTCTTTTTATGTATACTTTAATTGGCTTATTTTTTTTAAAAAATAAAAATAAATTATAGGCTGAGATGGAGAATATTAAAATGCAACAAAATGAAGATGGTAATGAGACGATTGATGCATTTCCATCTATCATGGGATCGAAACATCCTGGATGCTTGAGATTTTATGGAATAGGGTTACTAAAACTACTTTGAAAGGGAAAGTGGGACTTTGGAAGCCTTGTCAAATGCAACAAATAAGCTCATGAAAAAGATAATAAAGAGAATGCTAAGAATGGAAGAAAAAATTGAGGAACTAAAGGAACAATTTGACGAACAAAAGACCATGATGAGACAAGAAATTTTAGAAGATGTCATAACAAAACTCCATCGTTCAGGCCTACCAATTGATGTTAATGTTCTAGCAACATTACTTGATGCTTCGTCAACACGAGAAACAGCTATTCGGCCAATCCATCGTCCATCTATACGTAGCAACAATCAAGGTAAGAATCCTCCTTCTTGTTCTTCCAATTCTTCTACTACTGATTTTGCAACTTCTTGTTTGCTTCAGCTTCGTCTGCTTTTTATCTGTTGATCTGCTTCTACTTTTTTTCTTGTGCTACTACACTTGCAATCTTCTTCTATTGTTGTTGGTGCATCTGCGATCATCTTGTTATTTTTATCAAAGTTAATTATATCGAGATTAGTGTTATAGTTGTTTGCATAGTTTTGGAGTATTGAACTAAACTGAAAACATCAATTGACTAAAGAAAGTTTTAAAATGTGTACTCAATTCTTGGTTGATTTTAGGTATTGTTGATTTTTTGTAAAAATATATTGACCTGAGTTGTTGAATTTACTAAATATGTACACTTTCATCTTCTTATTAAAGCTCGTCATCCTATTTCTATGGTGATAAAGGACACTCTAAACTTTTAAGATTTAGAACAGTCTATATATATATTGTGTTTTGTTGTTGAACCATTGACATTTATTTTTATTTTTCTCAAGTTGAAAATTCAGTCTGATGAACTTACCGTTGAAAGCGTATTAATTGGTTATGAAAAGAAGGTTCTTTGATTGGTTAGTATCATTAATCTGGAACAAAAACTATGTCAGGAAGAAATTGCCATTACTAAAAAATATTATGAAGTAGCTTTGATTTTCTTTCTAAAAGCGGCATCTTAGGGGTCAGTCAATTTCTTATAAAACTGCTCTTGTGCAAAAACTTTGGCCCATGTATGAGATAAATAACCCTTTTATTTTTACTTTCTAAAAAAGGCATGTGGTACTATAGGTTATATTACGAAAGAGTAAAAATTGGGAGTTATATGATTTCTTTTCCCTTTTCATTTTTATACTTTTTCTTTCCTTTTCCCTATCTTTAATTGTTGTCCCTTTTGAAATTGTAGGTGAACAAAATGAAAAATGTGGGGATGAAGGTAGTGAAGACCTATACAGAGAATTGCTTGATCTACATCTACAAACATTCTAGGACTATTTTTACTTTTGGGCTTTAATTTTGTGAACTTAGTTGTATGCTAACTCTTGAACATTTTAGGACTATTTTTATATTTGGGCTTAACTTTTGCGAAAATCAATGTATGTTAACTATTGAATTGTCAATCAATATTGTGTTTCTATCTATAATATATGGATGAGTACACTAGTTGAAGTACTTTTTGATTTAATATTCCCTATCATTATATTATAGTTTATTGCAAAAGTACATGGTATTATATAGTTGCTACAACAGCTTACAATAAGCATTAAAAAAGGCCTATTGCAATAGCTTAATAACAGTGTTGCAATAGTTTACTAGAACCGTTGTAATAGCTCTAACTGAGCTATATTATAAAGCTATTGTGGTAGATCGTGTGCAACGGTTTCAAATCGTTGGAATAAATCTATTGCAACGGTTCGTAACTGTTGCACTAACAATTGAAAAGTGTTGTCATAGAATAAAGAATAACTGTTGCTATAGATAGGTGTGTCGCAACAGTTTAGAAACTGTTGCATAAAACTGTTACTGTAGATGTATTGCAACACGCTTATATGCAACACACCCTTTTCCGTTGCCATAAGGCTATTGCAACGCTCTTCGGATCTATGGAAATGATTTTTCTTACATTGTAACAGACCTATTTTCTAGTAGTGATCCTAGTCGTAAAGGCATCAATGGTAGCACTCAATGGTGTCACAACATCAGCAAGGGATGTATGAATCATAATGGAGGCCTCAAGTCTGGCAGCACAATGAACGACAGAATGGGCTAGCTGCCCCATCTGGAGCAATGCAGCCTAAGTGAGCGGGGGCCGAGAAACAGCAGAAGCATATTTGGGAGGCAATGTAGCAGGGCATGATCGTGTTGCTGATGAACCCAAACCAGTACCTCGCCGCCACATTGAGGTCCTTCTTTTCGATAACTACTCCAACCTCTAGCCACCTCGGAGTACCATATGATATCAACAGAGCTAACCACTTCTTCATGTATTCCAATACTGTGGTTCTGATCTTGTATTGACAGTTATCTTCAATTCTCATAAAACATTCTATGACGATATTTATAGCGTCACTTTCACATTTCACCTTCCGTCCTCTGACAACCACATAGTCAACAAGCTTGAATTTGGCTGCTAGCTTCTTCCCTTGTGGTATCAAGGCACTGTAAGCGATGTAGAACTGTCTGACCCAGCTTGGAATGTACGGGCCACAGGGCTTGGTGAAGATCTGGAATTTATGTGGCTTCAGGCAACTCATAATCTTTGGATACCTGTCAATGACCCCATCAGTAAACAAACGCTTCTCTTCGGTAATGGTCCGCAGCCCCTCGATCTTTAGTCTGTTCATAGACTTTGGAGGAGGTCCCTATACTGGTGGTGCTAGGACCACAACTTATGCTGGAGGGGGAGACGGAGTAGTGGCCTAGGAAGTCCTGATCCTAGACGGATCATTCATCCTTTTGGATCGCAGCTCTACCCTCTGTGCTGCTACTAGTTCATCATCCTCAGGCATAGAAGATGCAGCCTGGTACTCATCCTTACTCTCAGAAGTGGTGATGTGAGTGGTGTAGATACCATTACTGTCAATGCTAGCCTCCGGTGACACAGGTGCCTTCCCTTTGCCCTTTCCTTTCGCACTAGTTGTGGGAAGTTTGGTGGCCTTGGCCCTGGATGCAGCTACATCCTCATTGATGTTTATCCCTTTGGCCCTCTTGCGGGGCGGCATGTCTCTACCAGCAACTTTTAGTCTAGGCATGTCTGCAAAAACATCAAAAAGAATTAGAAGCAGTTCAATCAAATATATAGAAAAATAGTTGCATAAAGACTCGCTGAATCACTTTGGCGAGCTAAATCGGGATCGCCGAAAGGATTGGCTCAAAAATCCCAGAAATTTTTGGCATGTCGGCGATGGGAAGGACCTTTCGGCAAATCACCGACAACATTCGGCGAGCAAGGACTAGCCCACTAAAAGTTACAGTGCTTTTAGGGATTAGGGGCGCAGACAAAAGGCAATCAAGAAGGTCTTTCGACGAGTCGGCGAGTGCATTCGGTGACCTCAGGCTTCTCGTTGAAAGTTACAGAACCCAAATCAATTTTAAGCATGAAATTAAAGGCGATAAGGGGTGATTTGGTGAACCGCCGAGTGGCTCCCCCTTTGGTGAACCGCCGAGTGGCTCGGCGAGCTCTACCCAGCTCGCCAAATTACCCAACGTGCCTACTTTCCGCCCAACTTTCCAAATACAAACCCACAACCCCCGAAAACAAAATCAAAACATGAACTCCTCTAATTAAACTAAGACCCATTACACCCATGCCCCCGAGATACTCAGACTTTTCCCATTTTGGCCAAAATTTCCCATTTGATGACTTTTTCCCTTAGGAATGACGTCAACCACTCCATCATTGGGCAAATTACGTCATATGGCACAAATACGGGTTACTTAGACTTCACCCGACTAGGCACAACAACATGCAAGCACAACCCCACAATTTTAATCAATTTTAAGGCACAACAATTTAGGTAATTAATCATTAAAGGCATTAAAGGGACGATATTCAATTTAACAGAGGCACACACATACACAATTATGATCAGAGAGGCCCAACACACATCACTATGACAAAATCAATTGCAATTGAGTAAAATTTACTACAAATAAATTCAGAATTCGGAAAACCAACCTTTGATGCTGAATAAATATTTTGAAACGCTAGGCGGCAAAGTATTCCTATTCCAATTCCAAACACAAATATGATGACTAAAATACGGTAAAAATGCACGAAATATAGAATACTATAATGCGGGTGTGAGTTCGGGAAGTTTAAAATTGAGGGAAAGCGAAAGGGTTTGAACTTTTGAACCTTTGGCCTTAAAAACCGTCCAATTCTCGCCCATTCGGCGATATTAGTCTTGCTCGCCGACCCACTCGGGGATACGCCGAGTGGGCACTTCCCTCACTGAGTTTTACAGGACCTCCAGTTAATGTGGGGGTCCAAACGGCGAACAAAGTCGTGAAGTCGGCGATTCACCAATTTGCTTCTGGGCTCGCCGAGTTTTATTTCAAAATGTCTTGAGTCCAACGGTGATCCAAGTCGGGCTCGCTGACCTCTTCGGCGAGTCACCAATTGGACTTTTAGCTCGTCAACCTGCACTTTTCGAACACAATCCACACTTTAACCTGCACAATCAACACAAAATTATTTCTAAAATAAAAATGAAGCGATAAACACTTGGGTTGCCTCCCAAGAACCGCCTTAGTTAACGTCGTGGCACGACGCAGGTCCCCACTTAAGTTTCATTTGTGGGGTTTGCCTTGTTTTCACAAGGCAACCCACTTTCTTGTTGTGGGTAGAGAGAAGACAACACTTGGTCTATTTGGGACTCTAGAAGCTGAATGAACATGGCGTGAGAGGTTGTCATATGATTCAGCATCAAGACATTCTCTTTTACCTCTCTCAACACTTTGTCTGTTACACCCCAAAATTTGTAGACTAAACTAGAACCAAGAGCTAGGGTCCTAGAGTGTGATGTTGAGGATTTGAATGGTAGTTAAGACTTCGTGTGCTTAGAGTGAGGAGTTTAGTGGTTGAACATCAAGGTATGTGTTATACCTGGTAGCCTAGATGACCTATAGGAGTTTGGTGGTGAATGGGAAGGGCAAACACCAAGGCAAAAGGTCAAGCCTAAGCCAAAGGGCCAAGGCTGCCCAACCTTGGTAGCTA